GAATCTGTTCTTGCCTCATCCAACGTAATCGTCCACGTCTGAAAGCTGGATCACCTGCCATTAACTGAGAAACACGCTCCTCTTTAGCGAGATCATCATTCTCGCTTCTTTTTAAATCATCTGTGGGCTTCTTATCCCCATCCACCACACCGGCAGAGTTTGGAGACTTAGCATTAGCTACAGTTGACTGAGCTTTATCTGCAGACCCTATCAGAGGTAAAACCTTCTCCATTTTTAGCATCTTATTTCTAAGAACTTTTATCTCTTCATCCTTCATATTGTTCTGCTTCTTCACTTCTTGCAAAATATCTTCCAATTTATCTATATGCACCTTAAGGTCATCCACATCAGTTATTCCTTTACCATTGGCCATAACATCTTCAATTTTCTCATCTCCAACTCCTACCGTATCCCAGACATCACGAGCAACAGCTCGCCATGATTCACGCTCATTTGGATCTTTTTTCCCATACATGGCACAAAGCTCTTTCATTTTAACAATGGCCAGAGCCTCAATCTCCTGCCTAGTGTGCCTGAAGTCATTGAGCGCTACCTCATAGCATATCTCTTTCACAGCCTGAATCTTTAAGTCTGAGATGGTAACCCATTTGGAGTCTTTGCTAAGGCGTCGACGTTGGGGTATCTGGTACATTTTAATAGGCTCTCGTTTCTTCCCACTGCTGGGGAGGCCACACTTTTTTACAATGGTTTGGAGCTTGCTGGGGGGCAGCTTCTCTCTCAGGGAAGTGATCAGTCTCCAACTCTCCTCACACGATCTCTTGTCCGAATCATCCCCACTATCAGAGTCTGCATCCTTTGGAAAAACAAAAATCAAGAAGTGGCCCCAAAATAACCAAAATTAAAATTGTAAGAAAATGGAAAAGCTAAACAAGAAGTAGCAGGCAAAGAAAACTAAATCAAAAATCAAAATAGAACAAGTGATAATGAAGTCCCTGAAGACTGAATGTTAGGACATTAAAATCTTCAAGAGTCATGGACTGTCAAAATTGGAGCTCTTCACTAAATTAAGATTAACATTATAATCTCAAATTGTAATCTCAAAATAGCATATAAACTAAACTCTTCCCTCCCAATCCCTTACAAAATCTTTAAACAGATCAACTAAAACCAAGTTCCTGATTAAAAACATTAAAAACCAAGTGTAAACTGCATTTCACACATGCTACAAAGACATGCAAATCCCCGCCACACACATTTGCCTTGGTGACTGCTGTTGCTTCTTTCAGAAAATCCTCCCCAGGTAGGTGAACACAATAGCCATCATAGAAGATGTCATGAGCAGCCAGAGTAAGTCGGGTTAACACTGGTTAGTAACGTTGCACGTGGTTGCAGGGGTGCTCAAGTTTAGAATCCACTTCACTACAATAGCAGCCAGAGAAGTGTTAGACGATAAGAAAAAATGAAACAGAAGCAGCTGAAAGGTTCAATGTTAAAAGGACTGTAAGTGCCACTATGACAGGTGAAGACAGTGGTTCATACTCCAAGACTTGCTACAAGCTAAAAGGATATCCAGAACCAGAGTTTCAGAGGTGGGTTGTGGTTTGGGTTTTCCCATTTGTTCCCTTGTTGCTTAGTTTTAAGAAAGAAAAACATTAACAGTCTTGTCTGTCCGAAGAATGAGCTTCAGAAGAATGTAGCAGTAATGACTTTTTTTAAAAAATTGTTTTAATACAAATTTGATATCCTTGATTTGTCGTCTTCTCAAACCCTAGGGCCTGGAGCTTCCACACGCTTGCTAAATTACGCATGTTTTGCTTCTTCATTACAAGTTATCCACCTTCTGCTAAATCATTTTTAATGAGCAGTGCTTCAGGTTTCCATATGCTAGGAATGTCTGTTGAGGTGCATTGCCACCAGAAGCTAAGGATATCCATTATTGCTTACTGCAGCCAGGAATTAAAGTCGGACTACTTTTCTTTAAAGGATTACTAATTTAAGACATCTCTTTAACGAATAAAAAGTCCTACGTACGATCACGATCCAAACATCTTCAACAAAGCAGACCAGACAGTCTCTAGTGAACCTCTATCTAACGTCCCTATTTTTCACATAAAGAATTATAATACGCGAGAAATCAGGAACAATAACAGCCAGTTATTCTAAAACCAAAGGAAACCCAGGTCATTGACTCAGAACCACAGGTTCCTACACTTAAGACTTCGAGGAGAAGACCACGAAGAATGGGAAATACAATATAATTTGTTTCGGGAATGACAAAAAGGAGTAAAAGAAATACTGTTCTGCCCTACAGTCAACAAGCTCTGTAGCCTAATAGTCACATTATTTGAGCTTTTTGTGACCTTATGTGTCTTTAAATATTTAAGAAGAGAATCAACTTCTCCCAGTTTAGGCCAAAATATAAGCAAAACACTGGTTTAGAAACAGAACATGAACTCTTTGTGAGTTCACAGCAGACCAAATCTGTGGCCTAAGGAAACAGCATCTAACAAACTGCATATTGCAGTGGAAACCAAAGAGGCCCTGGAGGAAGACACTGTGCAATCTACACATTCAAGGTTATGTCCAGAAAGGCAAAACACAAACTACTCACTCATTAAGTCACAAACTCCACAGGATTACTCTTACAGGTTACAGGATAACCGTATTACTACTTATGGCTAAAGCATGTTTTGTGTATAAAAAGCTGATTGAGAGACACTACGTGGTCCTTGCCCTGTGTGCACTCAGAGGTTAACCAAAGCAATTAATATCTGTATATACCCACATTCTAATATCCAGTGGTCACTGCAAAGGCATTATGACCACGAAAACCAGGAAGATAATTTTAGCTCTATTTAACAAGTTTTCACGTTCAATTTGTAAAATGGAGAACGATTATTTCCATTCCCTAGTAATAGTAGCAAGGCAAATACATATTAGTTGTAAATTTGGGGGGACAAGAGCTATTATTTTATTTACCTTTTTTGTATAGCACCTCTATCAAATAAATACCCAAACTGGTTGGAATCTCAGCACAAAACCAAAACAATCTGGTAAACAGGATTAGCCAGCTTCTTATATCCAAGATTATACTCCAATTTAGAACAAGAATATTTATATTTCAAGATCAATGTTCCATAGCAGTAAGTTGAAGAATGTGATATCGCAGCTGGATATCGCAGCAATGTAAATACTTTTAGGGTATGCAAGCTGAGATGCATTCCCAGATTTCCCAGCCATTATTCAGCTCCTGTTACATGAATGCACTGATCCTGTCCATTCCACACTCTGCATACAGCGACACAGAAATGTCAAGACGTGTCAAGAAGTTTTTCTGTTATCTGAAATATTCCTATTAAGCACTGTGATAAGCAGGATACTGCTTAACAGACCAATGATCTAACTTGTTACGATCCCTCACAACTAAGCAAGGTGTCCTTCAGGAATTACACTGGTAATGCACACAGGATAGTCTTGCACCTTTGTCCACTAACTGAAATCAGCAAAACCAAAACAAGCTTAAAGAAATCAGCAACTTTATTACAGCATTAAACAACCCAGTATCTAAAGAACCTCCCCTTAATCTTAAGCATACGGGGAAACAAATTCCCTTCACAACACTTCTGTAAATGCAGCCTTATTTGAAGCAGCTCCCCAGACAGCCAAGTCTCACATCTTTAATTCATACAATAGTTTAGCTTATGCCTGTCAGCCAAAACTTAAGGCAGGGAATTCCATTACTTCTATCTCCTTTGACACAGAGCCAGAACTTACTCCATACACGAACTACTTTTCTTTTCACATGGAGCTGATTTTTGCCGTACTACTTTCAGCGACACAAATTTTAATTATAAAATTGCAGAGATGAAACATTACACTAGCCACATCTTAACTTCCTTTCTGAACCAAGTCTTGCTTCGGTTCAAAGTCTGCAGCCACTCCTCTCTATTCAAGAAATTAGTCCCTGGCGATGAAATAATTAGAGATGCGTAAGTCTTTAAGTGTATACCATAAATAAGAAAAGTGATGTAGCTTCTACCTATGGAAGCCACTGTACTTTGCTCCATTTGCTTTTGGGAGAAGGGGAAGAGCTTTACAGTCTAAAACCCAGCATGCACTCAACACACAGGTTTCGGTGGTCTCAAACGAATTCTACAAACAAATTATTTTGAATTTTTTATTAGAATTCAGGCACAACTACACTTGCATTCTGGCTAAAAGACAACTCAATGTAGTTAAAGCAGAATCAAGAGACTCAGGTTTCTTAAGCAAATCTAGATTACATTCCTGGGCTTGGTCTTGTTTTTAAAATTCACAGGGTGCTTGAAGACTGTGCTTTTCTATTTGCAACATGCTTCATCAGACATCTGCTGTCAGAAAACTCGAGTCTTCCTATAACAGACTTAATTTATCAGACTTCCTACTTAAAAATTAGGTGGAATGGTGGAATTTCCATTGTTCTGAAAGAGTTAACATTCCCCTTGCACACTGCTCCCTAGTCAGAACCCCACCATCAGCATGTGTGCCATTAAGACCCTTACAAGGAACTCCATGCAGGGGGAGGGAGAAGGGTTAAAACATGCACAATGCAGCAACGTTTTCAGACATCATTCAAAAAAATAAACCTAGTGTATCAATGTTCTAGGAATCTCTTTGGCAGCACAAAATTAGTACGTTCTGGTGATCCAAGACAAAAATAAAGGCAAACACCCCAAGAAGTAGCTGTTTAGACTACTGAAAAGGAAGTTAAAAAACCACAGAGCACAGAAATGCCCTTCTTTCAGGTTAAGTTGCAAGAAATCCAACCTGTCCCAACAAGAACTGATTAAAGCCTCGTCAGTGTCAATTGCAATCTCAGAATTAACCTGAAGGGGTTCACTCACACTGATAATAATTCACTGTAGACACAGAGTATTTGAAAGCAAAGGGAGAACTGCATTGTGCAGACAACCCAAGCAGGTTTCCTAAACTTTCAGATAAGCAAGGACAGGAATTACTGTTTGCCAAAGGTAGAGTTAATCTTAAATAAGGACACATACCAGCCTTTGCTGCTCCAGCAAGAGATCAGCTTCCTCCTTCTCCTTCTTATACAAAATCTCCATCTCTTGTAATCTGAAGACGAACGAAAGAACAGAAGGAGCCAAAGAGGTCATTATTTTCATGTTGGTGTTACTCTACACGCACACTGAATTACAGTGACAAGAGTAAAAGTCTTTCCACTTAAAATGAACTGTTATTTGTCTATTATAATACTACAGAAGTGAAACTTCCTACAAGTTGCAGTTCAGTCCTTCACCAAAAGGTTAATAGGGTTAGTGGAAGGTGCTTACTTGTGATTTTAAAGTAGCTAGAGCACTGAAACACTTAAGTAAAATGACGAGGAAGCTTTCTGAATTTTCACAATAGGTAGCAGAGATGTTATATGGCAGAACCTAGATTTACATTTTGCACGGACACCACCCAAATAACATATAGCTGACTGACTCCTCCTTGTTTCAGGTAGGAATTTTGAGTTATTTTGTTACCTTTTCTCCATCTCCTGTTTCATGTCAATGCCCTGCTTCTCCAGAAGCTCCCTCTGAGCAAACGTCCAGTCAACTGGCTCAGAGGGAGTCTCAGCTGATGGTGTTTTCTCTCTTTCTGCTCGTGCTTGCTCTGGGTGGTTGAATCTGAAGACATGATTTTTACCCATGATGATACGATTTCCTAAAATCAGTAACAGAAGTTAACTCAGGTAATCATTCCAAAGCCACTGAAAAACATCACTGAATGATTCATCCCATCTATCCTGTTGGGTGACAGCATAAGAAAAGATTACCCTATTAGGATTTCTGTATACATTCAAGTTAACTAGGTGACAAGAAAAAAAAGAATGCCCGGTTTGAACAGAACAAGCCACTGCTGATAAGAAGCAGTGCTCATAGAGGACATCATCACCCTCAGGGGTCCAATGTAATATCCCAGCAGAGTTTATCAAAAATTAGAGGACAACCTTGGAGATTGGCCAACAGTTGCAGTAAATAAAACACACCACTAAATCCCATCCCTCTCCTGTGACAGTGCCAAAACATGGGCAAAAGTCTCTTCAGCAGAATTTTCATCTTGGAAAAGCCTGACTTCAAACACTGGAATACATGGTGCTTACTCTTCTTTAAAATGTAGTTTATATGCATTTATTTAACTGGAGTGCTAATTGGTGGGATTCATGGAAGGATTTTACAGCCTCTTTTACACTAATATCAAAAGAGTTGAAGAAATCTAATATTGTTAAGCCTTTCGGCTAAATCCTAGAGATATCAGATGTCCACAAAACCCAAGATGTGTGTGATGGAAGACAGTAAAATGCCTCAGATTTTCCAGAGAACATACTAATGTCGTTAAAATTTTAAAAAGGCATTCTAGTAAATAGACCTTCAAAGTAACCAAAAATTATCCTTATCAATGTATTACTAAACTAATAAAATGCTCTTAAAAATGTCAGAGACCACGTCCACATTCTTCTAGCAACTCAGTTACCTAGATGTAGGAGAAAAGGAAAAATATCACATTTTTTTGAAAGTAATTAATAAATTATAAAGTCTTGGTATTCAACACAAGCCATATGCATGCACAGAACTACAAAAAACTCTTCTTCCTCTATTGTCTAGACTGCTGAAGTCAGTACACCTGGATCCATGAAAATACTCACTTCAACTTGGTGCAAATAATTCAGAGGTGGGGGTTTT